AGTGGCGGGCGTGCTGAAGCTGTACTTCCGAGAGCTACGAGAGCCACTGTTCCCTCTACATCTGTTTGATGCCCTGGTTGAGTGTACACGTGAGTGCTCTCCCTTACCCTCCACGAGCTCTCGTCTCCTGTATGCCGAAGAAAGATAAGATGTTGAATATGAACATATTTTGAGAGATGTTGGAAATTGCAGAAAGGATTTTAACTTTTTTCTAAGTTTTGTCATTTCAGGAACAAAGGAATTGTTGAAGATGTAGAAGAAAGCTTGAGAGATGTTTTAAACTGCCAGTGGGATCTAAGAGAGGAAGATGATGCCAGAGAAAAAAAAAAATAGATTGAATGGTGTTCCAAACTGCCAATAAGATTGAAACATTTTTCCAGTTTTTATCATTTCAGGAGTGAACTAGATGTGGAAAAATGAAGATCGTTTTAGAGACCCTGGGATTTTTTTTGTGGCTTCAGGAGAGAAAGATATGTTGAACATGATAATTTGGGAGATGTTTGAAAGTGTGGACAGGATTGTGACTTTTTCCTTGTTTTTGTGGTTTCAGGATGGAGATATTAAAAATGATAATTTTGGAGATGTTTGAAACTGTGAACAGGATTGTAACTTTTTCTTTGTTTTTTTTGGTTTCAGGAGAGAAGGAGATGTCGAAGCGAGTGGAGAGGATCAAAGACCTCCTGTCTGGCGTGAACCGGGCCATCTTTGTGGTCATGAGATACCTGTTTGCCTTCCTCAACCAGTGAGTTCAGGGGGGGGAATCTGCGGGCGGTTGGTGGGTGGACTACTGTAGTCATTATCACAGGATATTGTGGGTGGTTGGTGGGCGTACTGCTGTAGTCACTCTCATTTGATATTGTGGGTGGTTGATGGGTGTACTACTGTAGTCATTCTCGATTTTAATCAAGTACCTCAGTCTTTCTGCTGGGATGTTGTATCCCTCTCAGCCTGGAACAGGCAGGGTCGGAAGCCCACTTCCTAAACAATCTTAGTTGTTCGGATGGGGATGTAAAAACATGTGCTTTTTAAAAAATGTTCAGATTATATTTTTTCTAAATGTTATTCCTGCACCTTACCTAACTTTAACGGCACCGTTTCTCCATGGGTGGTTGGTGGGTGCTCTGGTGTGGTTTGCACCTTCTTTCCTATCAAACATCTATCATCCTTATCTCTCCTCCTTTTTTGTGTTTG